TGCCCCTGACACACTATGGGCCCCTGACACACCATTGGCCCCTGACACACCATGGGCCCCTGACAGGTCAGGGGCCTGCACAAACACTTGGAGGTATTGAGTCCTGATGACTTTGTGAGTTTTATTTTTGAGCGAGGACTCACATGTGCATGATGTCGCTGTCATGAGGAGGTTCCTGTTTGACCTGCGGGTTGACGATAGCTGGGTGGGGGATCCCTGTGGCATGGGGGCCGGGGGGCCCCGGGACCATGTGGTGAGAAAACCTGCAGTGATGAAACACACACACATGTCCAAGTTTTCAGAAAGTGAAGGCTTCTTCAGGAACAGACTGCTGCTGATCATAAAATAGACAAGAAGTCGTTCTAAATAGTTCCTAAATAAAACGTTCACACTGAACTGTTGGTTTAATGGAATCATGACAGAAAAACAGATCTGCACCTTGCATCATCACGCTACCACACGATGGAGGACACACGGACATGCTGGGAAATGAAACGGTGCAAGAAAAGACGCAAGAGGCAAAGAAACAGGAAGCTGCTGCTGCTGCTGCTGCTGATGCTGCTGCTGACCAGTCTTCCTCTGCCAGACACTCAACACTCGTACAGCAGCAGCGTTCAACAGTTTCTGCCTCCTCAACACCGTCCATCGTTGGATGACTCACCATCCCAGCGGCGGCGTGATCTGCCCCACTCCTCCAGGAGACAGGGAGTAGAAGTTGGCCATGTCTGGTCCAGGATGATGCCTGGCCATTCCTGCAAAGAACAATCGCCGTAAATGAAAAGAGTAGAACGCAGATGTGAGTTCACAACAAGCAGCACTCTGGTTCTTCACGAGAAAAGACAAGTTCTAATGTTTCCTCAGGTTCGGGTTTTTTTCCTCAGGTGTTTTATGATCGGACCTTTTCCTTCGTTCAGTTTCACTGAATCGGTCACGCTGTCCGACTCATAACGTGCTTGAAATGTTTAAGTTTCTACGAGTTGGAAACACCACAAGTTAACGTCTGAGCTGTACGGCTGCAACAGCTACTTTGTCCTTTTAAATCAGCTGTTTGTTTTTTCTCTTACACTATTTTATTTCATTTATTCTTCTCAGTTTGTATGTTTTCTTTGATGATTGTCCACTGTTGTCATGACTCTTTGTTAAACCAGGTGTCTCTTGTAGATGAGTCCCCGGGGCTCAGTGAGACTAACCTGTAGAAATAAAGCTTGAATGGACGGTTACAAACGGATGAAAAAGAACCTCTCCATCGTCTCCACCTTGTTTTTCCACAAGTCAAAGACGGTTAATGTGGCTCCTAAGTCACGGCATTAACCGGTGAAAACATGGCTGCCGTTTTATTTCTGCCAGAGATGCTTCTTTCTGTGTTTCAGCATCTTCCAGATGGACATCCACGTATTTCTCTTCTTCCTGCAGACACTGAATCGACTCTGACGTCAGGAATAAGCTCCTCCATCTTCAGCTCCTACTGGGTGTCGAGGTTTATTTTTATTTTTGTGACAGAACTCAAAAAGCAGCTGCAGGATGACGAACATCTGCTTCACTTCCTGCTGTCTTGGTTCACGCTGACGTTTCAAGCAGGGCGATATGAGAACATGCACTTCATGTAACACACAAGTAACATGTTCTCCATAAATACTCAAAAAAACAGCTCTATACTCTAATCCCTGCCGGAGCCATCCTTTTCTCTTTGCTTCCATTTCTTCCTCATGCTCCTCATGGCTCCGTGCAGAGGTCTGGGGGCTGCCCTCCTCTGAGAAGCAGCTCGGGTGAGAGGCTTAAATCTCCAAAGCCAATGTTGTGAGGCCGGATTCATAGCACGGATAGCGCAGCTCCCTGATCACTAATCCACCCCTAACACTCCTTTAAGGCTCTCCTGAAGAGGACGGAAAGAAAGGAGGCGAGGGGTGAAGCAGCCGGGGGGGGGGGGGGGGGGGGTCTGTAAAGCCCTGGGGGGTAACCTCGTCACTCACACCTGCATGGAACCAAATTATGCTCCAACGACACCAAACATTCGTTCTTCCCTTAAACGAGCAGCATAAGATTTACATGTTCAGTTTGTTTTCCTGAACCAAACATAATACAAGGCTTTACATGTAAAATCTAGCACCCCCCCCCCCCCCCGACCTTCCATCCCACGCAGCAGCCCTGTGCATATTAGAGCTCATAATGAGAAAATCCATGATTGTTTTTCATAATTAACGAGCAGATCAAAGTCTGAGCCCACGAAAGGAAGCAGCACTAGCTATTGGTCGATGCAAAGAGGAAAGAACGAGCAAGAGGGACGGCAAAAAAAAAAGCAGAGAGAACGAGAGGGATTTCATTTTAGGCATCTTCGGCTTAGCTCCACTGATTTTTTAATTTTTAATTTTTTAGCTCCACTGATACACACGAACACGCCCGGGGAAATCATTCACAGCTAATTCTGCAACTGGATTGCCTGGACATGGATTTCTGTTGGACTGTGAGTGCATAAATAGTGACAACCCCGTGCCCCCCCCCCCAAAAAAAAAAATTATTCCCAAGGGGTGCCCCCCCCCCCACACACACACACACATACACACACTTTTTTTTGTCAGAAACCAATGTAAAACGTAAAACACTACACTCACAAGAAAAAATCAATCTACAGCGCTCCTCGTGTTGTTGCTTGTTTGTTCTGCATCTGTTAGAAAAAAGATGTCTCAGATGCGTGGCGTATGTGGAGCACGGGTTCTTTAATCGTTCTGCTCTCCTCATCTCCGAGTCATCATCGAGCTCTGTTCCACATCGTTATTTATAGCTAGTCACTCAGAACCTTCTCCTTTCATTGTCGTCGCCTACAACTTGCCTGATGCGTCGTATTTTCTTGTGGCAGTCGCAGGAAAAGAAAGCAGGGAAAAGTAAAAAGGTGCAAGACAAAACTATGTTTGGCCCATGTTTTTTTTCCAGCTGCTGCCAAAGCCTCCAGCTGTGCAGGGCTGAGGAGCTCATCCAAACAGCAGAGGAGCTCTTCTGCAGCTGTCAGAGCTGCAGCTTTATGTTATTCAACAGCTGTGGCTGAGTGGTTAGAGCAGTCGTCCTCCAATGCAAGAGTTGGCGGTTCGAATCCACCAGCAGTTACATGCCGAAGTGTCCCTGGGCAAGACACTGAACCCCTCATAGCCTCTGATGTGTGTCCCATCAGTGTATGAATGTGATCTAAAAGCACTGATTAGTCTCGTTAGAATGATTTGTTCAATTAGCTTTGTAAAGATCTAGTAGAGTACTGTATGAATGGGTAAATGAGGCACAGATTGTTGTAAAGTGCTTTGAGTATCTTGAAATAAGATAGAAAGGTGCTATGTAAGCACAGTCCATTAACCATTTACCATTTTATTCCTGTGAGGCAGTGCAAAGGGCTCTGCACACCATGCCGCTGGCTGGAAGGGCTCAGCACATCATCCCACTGGCTGAAAGGTCTCGGTGCACCTTCCCACTGGCTAGAAGGACTCAGTACATCGTCTCAATTCCTGGAAAGTCACAGCGCACCTTCCCACTGGCTGGAAGTTCTCAAAGCACTATCCCACGGCTGGAAGCGCTCAGCACACAATCCCACTGGCTGGAAGGGCTCAGCGCACCATCCTACCAACTAGAAGGGCTCAGCTCACCATCCCACCAACTGGAAGGTTTCATTGCACTATCCCACTGGCTGGAAGGGCTCAGCGCACCATCCCACTGGTTGGAGGGCTCAGCGCACCATCCCACCAGCTGGAAGGGCTCAGTGCACCATCCCACTGGCTGGAAGGGGTCAGTGCACCATCCTACCAACTGGAAGAGCTCAGCGCATCATCCCACCAATTTGAAGAGCTCAGTGCACCATTCCACCAACTTGAAGGGCTCATCGCACCATCCCACTGGCTGGAAGGGCTCAGCGCACCATCCCACCAACTGGAAGGCCACTATTCCACTGGCTGGAAGGGCTCAGTGCACCATCCCATGGGCTGAAAGGGTTCAGCACACATCACACTGGCTGGAATGTCTCAGCGCACCATCCCACTGGCTGGAAGGGCTCAGAGCATTATGCCATCGCTAGAAGTCCTCAATGCACCATCCCACTGGCTGGAAGGGCTCACTGCACCATCCCACCAACTGGAAGGGCTCAGCGCACCATTCCACTGGCTGGAAGGGTTCAGCGCACCATCCCACCAGCTGGAAGGGCTCAGGGCACCATCCCACCGTCTGGAAACACTCAGCACACCACCCCACAGGTTGAAGGGCTTAGCACACCATCCCACTGGCTGGAAGGGCTCAGTGCACCATCTTATTAACTGGAAAGGCTAAGTGCACCATCCCACCAACTGGAAAGGCTCAGCACACCATCCCACCAACTCGAAGGGTTCGTCGCACCATCCCACTGGCTGGAAGGGCTCAGCGCACCATCCCACCAAATGGAAGGGCTCAGCGCACCATTCCACTGGCTGGAAGGGCTCAGCACACCATCCCACTGTTTGGAAGGGCTCAGCGCACCATCCCACCAACTGGAGAGGCTCAGCACACCATCCCACCAGTTGGAAGGTTTCATTGCACCATCCCACTGGCTAGAAGGACTCAGCACACCATCCTACAAACTAGAAGGGCTCAGCTCACCATCCCACCAACTGGAAGGGTTTGTCGCACTATCCCACTGACTGGAAGGGCTCAGAGCATTATGCCATCGCTGGAAGTCCTCAACGCACCATCCCACTGGCTGGAAGGGCTCAGCGCACTATCCCACTGGCTGGAAGGGCTCAGCGCACCATCCCACTGGCTGGAAGAGCTCAGAGCACCATCCCACTGGCTGGAAGGACTCGGCACATCGTCCCACTGGCTGGAAGGTCTCAGCGCACCTTCCCACAGGCTGGAAGTTCTCAAAGCACTATCCCACGTCTGGAAGTGCTCAGCACACCATCCCACTGGCTGGAAGGGCTCAGAGCATTATGCCATCACTGGAAGTCCTCAATGCACCATCCCACTGGCTGAAAGGGCTCAGCACAGCATCCTACCAACTGGAAGGGCTCAGCGCACCATCCCACCAGCTCAAAGGTCTCAGTGCATCACCCCACCAACTCAAAGGGTTCATTGCACTATCCCACTGGCTGGAAGGGCTCAGCACACCATCCTACTTGCTGGAAGGGCTCAGCGCACCATCCCACCAACTAGAAGGGCTCAGCTTACCATCCCACTAAATGGAAGGGCTCAGCGCACT